ACACACACACACACACACAACATTGCACAGCGCTCGCCTTGTAGCCCGGTGCTGCAACTTCCTTTTTCGATCGCTGGCGGTCGTCTCTCCGTGCAACCAGCAGTTGCGCGCCGCACTCTGCTTCTCCTATGCCTCCATCAGCATCCGCTTCCAGTCGCTGATCTTGCATCAGCGTAGACTTTGCCAAGATGCCATCGCATTCATTCGATCAGCACGAGCGCGAAAACACCGTCTCTTCCTCTTCCACCGCCGACTCTTCCACGCTTCCCACCGGCTCACGCGAGAACGAGCAACACACCAGCACCGCATCGCATCCATCGGATCCGCATCGCGACGCTTCCTCATCCACATCCACCGCTACTGCTCTTCCCAACGATGCATCCAACGCCGCAGCCCCTTCCGCATCCTTGGCCACGCGTCGTGCAGGCCGCGTACACTGGGATGGCTCTTCCAACGCAGCCAGTTTACGTCGCGGCGGCCAGCTCCAGATTCGTTCCGGAGGCGCGCTCGCAGGTCCCACCGTCACCGTTCGAGGCGCCGCTCCATCTCAGGACCAAACCCGTCAAGGCCTCAGCCTCGGTTCCGTGCGTCGCAACCATCATCCAGGCCCGCTCAACATTGCAGAGCGTCTCACGCCCCAGAACGAAATGCCGGCATCGTCCCTCTCTCCACCTCTCACCGAACCCTCCGCTGCTCCTGCCGCAGAGCCATCCACACAGGCCGCCGCCACCACCACAACCGCCCAAAAGATCCCAACCCTCTCTCTCACCGGCGCAAAGGGCCTCGACGAACAGGGCCTCGACAATCGCGCCTTTCTCGAGCTCCAGCGTGAGCTCCAGAGGCATGAGGCCCTCAGCGACGATGGCGCAAGCCACCTCAGCTGGCAAGAAAACGACCGCACCCAAGACAGCGCAGGCCGCGATCGCCTAGCACAGGTCTTTGCCGATCGCGAGCGAGACCGCGAAGAACGTCGCAGACGCCAGCGCACAGCAGACCTCAACGGCACCGACACCCCCGCCACCTTTGGCGACGTCAGCGGTGCCGCCACTCCCGGCTCCGCCACCAGCGACAGCAGCTACGACCCTGCCAACGACTCGGACCTCGACCACATCGACCTCATCGCCGGCGAGACCGATGGCATGCCTTCGCGCATCAAGAAGCCCCGGGATCAGAATGCCGACGCCGACGACCAGCCAAAAGGCTGGGCAAAGCTTCGCGGCATCTTTGGTCGTCCTCCACCCGCCGACGACGAGGACCAGGAGGAAAAGGGCCAGGTCCCCGCCCCCATCCTCGACCGGGGCGCTGCCAAGGCTCAGGAACAAGGCGGCCCCACCAACTGGAAGTCGGTCCCCGTAGAGACCTCCAGCGGTCTTCACACCGGCGATGGTCCCCGACGTCGTCCCAACAAGTTTGAGCGCGAGGCAGCCAGGCTCGTCCAACAGCACAAGCTCACCCAGCAGCGTCAGGAGGCCCTCGACCGCATCGGCCGATCCCACCTCCCCGACACCGGTGCCACCACGCCCGACCCCATGGAGACCACCATGAACATGGACGCGCGCCCCGTCACTTCCGGCGGCGTCCTTGGTAACCTCTTGCGCCTCTACGAGCAGCAGCAGCGCGACATCTCGGCCAGGAGCGCCGCCACCAGCTCCGTCGCCAGCAACAGCGAGTACAATCCCGATGGCGACGGCAGGCCGCTCTTTGGCAACCACGAGACGGCAGAGTCGATCCAGGCAAAGCTCGACTCGCCAGGCTTTCAGCGCAAGCTCGAACGCTACGAAAAGCGTCGCGGCATGTCGCTCCACAGCATCGGCCT